GAAGAATGGCTCTAAGTTTATCTCCTTTATGTAACTTTGTTTGATGAGTAGCATCCATAAAGCTTACATCTTCCTGCTGGTGTTTTCACAGACTCACAGAATCAATTAGGTTGGGAAAGACCTTAGAGATCATTGAGTACAACCTATGACCAAACATGACCATGTCAACTAGACCATGGCACTAAGTGTCACGTCCATCATTTTCTTAAACTCCTCCAGGGACAGTGACTCCACCACCTCCCTGGGCAGCGCATTCCAATGTCTGATCACTCTTTCTGTGAAGAACTTCTTCCTAAAGACTAACCTAAACCTCCCCTGGTGCAGCTTAAGGCTGTGTCCTCTTGTCCTATTGCTAGTTTCCTGAGAGAAGAGACTCTCACCTGGCTACAACCTCCTTTCAGGTAGTTGTAGAGTGATAAGGCCTCCCCCGAGGCTTCTCTTCTCCAGACTAAACAACCCCAGCTCCCTCAGCTGCTCCTCATAGGGCTTGTGCTCCAGACCCTTCACCAGTCTTGTTGCCCTTCTTTGAACACGCTCCAGTACCTCAACATCCTTCCTAAACTGACGGGCCCAGAACTGGACACAGCACTCGAGGTGCGGCCTTACCAGAGCTGAGTACTGAAGAATCACTTCCCTGGTCCTGTTGCTGATAGGCCAGGATGCCATTGGCCTTCTTGGCCACCTGGGCACACTGCTGCCTCATGTTCAGCAGACTGTCAACCAGAACCCCCAGGTCTCTTTCTGACTGGCTGTTGTCCAGCCACTCTGTCCCCAGCCTGTAGTGCTCCATAGGATTGTTGTGGGCAAAGTGTAGGACCCAGCAGTTGGCCTTGTTGAACCTCATCCTGTTGGATTTGGCCCATCTATCCAGCCTGTCCACATCCCTCTGCAGAGCCCTCCTGCCTTCCAGCAAACCGACACTTCCCTCCAACTTGGTGTCACTGCAAATTTGCTAATGTAGACTCGATCCCCTCATCCAGATCATCAATAAAGATATTAAACAGGACTGGGCCCAACACTGATCCCTGGAGGACACCACTAGTGACTGGTCGCCAACTGGATGCAGCACTGTTCACCATCACTCTCTAGGCCCAGCCACCAGCCAGTTCTTAACCCAGCAGAGAGTGCCCCTGTCCAAGCTGTGGGTTGCCAGCTTTTCCAGGAGTATGCTATGGGAGATGGTGTCAAAGGCTTTGCTGAAGTCTAGATAGACTACATCGACAGCCTCATCCACCAGACAGGTCACCTGGTCACAGAAGGAGATCATGATCAGGCAGAATCTGCCCTTAAATCCACGCTGGCTGGGTCTGATCCCCTGGCCGTCCTGCATGTGCCACATGATTGTGCTCAAGATGATATCATTAGCAGTGGAGACTTATGTTAGAAAAGTTTCACAAATGTTGAGCTCACATTTTTGTTCTTGCTTTATCTGTTCGGCACTTTTTGGCAGGCTTGTCCTGTTCCTTGCACTTTTCTCATCTCCTTTTTTCTAAAGTAATTTCTTCATTAGGGTTTCTTCTGTCATTTTAAATTATTTTTACCTCAGAGCAATCCAACATTGACCTATACAGATTAGCACAGAATTGATGTGAAGGAATTTCTTGTCTGGAAGGAATTTCACTGACTGGACAAACAAGATGCAGTTTGGATGAATCTTCTGAACAACCAACACACAATCTGCACTTGAGAATCTTGGCTTTGTTTTGTCCTGTATTATCTGCATTATCTGTATTGTACTGTAAACTCTGCACTGGTGTGGCCTTACCTTGAATATTGTGTGCAGTTTTGACCACCGCAATATAAAAACAATATTGAGTTCTTAGAGAAAATACGAAGGAGGGCAACGAAGATGGTGAAGGGCCTTGAGGGTAAGCCATATGAGGAGTGGCTGAGGTCATTTGGTCTGTTCAGCCTGGAAAAGAGGAGACTGAGGGGAGACCTCATTGCTGTCTACAACTTCCTGGTGAGGGGAAGAGGAGGGGCAGGCACTGATCTGTTCTCTGTGGTGACCAGTGATGGGACAAGAGGGAATGGCCTGAAGTTGAGTCAGGGGAGGTGACTTGGATATTAGAAAAAGGTTCTTCACCCAGAGGGTGGTTGGGCACTGGAACAAACTCCCCAGGGAAGTAGTCATAGCACCAAGCCTGACACAGTTCAAGAAGTATTTGGACAATACTCTCAGGCTCTTGGGGATGGTCCTGTACTGGCCTAGGAGTTGGACTCAATGATCCTTGTGGGTCCCTTCCAACTCTGCATATTCTATGATTCTGTGATCTTCCAACCTAAACTTTCTCCATCATCTTACCCTAATGAACAGTTTGAAAGGCTTAGCTTGTTCTTTCATTGGTGAAGAAATCAAATACTGTATTTTCCAGAGAACTTGGTACTGCATCATCCATGAGAATATTCTATAGCACTTCATTAATTTCAGAAGAAATCTGATTATTTTTTCCTTGCCCTGATTCTCATTCAGTGACAGAAATCACTGACTGATCATACTAGTATAAATGCCTAGGATGCCAACTGAAGATAGTAATGACCATCAGATAACAGCAGCAAAATTCATCACAAATAATTTCTTCTCTCATTTTGTAACCCCCAACAAAGATCTCCTATTGATTACTTATAAGTTTATTAAAATAAGAGTTTTATCTTTGCTGTTAGGTTCCTAATTACATTAATGATATCTTCGTCTGGAGTTTCAAACCATTAGTAGAAATTGATATCGTAATCATCAGCTACATAACATAAATTTGTACAATCACTATGTACATTAGCTTATCTCAAAGAAAAACTGGAGTGATTGTGTCACTAATTCGACTATATCTGAGCATGCACTTTGACATGGTAAGTATGACCCAGTTTTCTTCAATCATGAATAATGTGTTACATTAATTACTCTTGTCATTCCCTTCTTCCAAGCCCTGAAATATTAAACAGAGTAAATTGCACCATCCACCTTTATTGATAATGGCAAGCTTAAATGGTAATTTAAGAATGGCTGTACTGGCTGGATCAAAAGTCTACCTAGCCATGCATTTTCCCTCTGAAGATGGCCAATGTAAGCTTCTTCATGGTTAAGGAAATTATTTAACCTAAGTATATATGTTACATATTTAAATATTCTATGAGTTAGCACATCTATAATGAAGGAAGCATCACTGAATATGTGCCCTCGCTAGGAATTTGTTCTATTATTTCTGTAACGATAAATAAGCAATTTTTCTTTGCTGTGAATGGTACTTTCCCAGAGGAAAAGTGGCCATAACCACAGCTAGGACTGCTGTAGACTTTCTCCAAGTGTAACTTGTTTGGCCCTTTGCCATGATGGTCTGGCAATCTGGATTCACAAGTGGCTCCAAGTCAAAAAGCTGTGTAACTTGGAAGATAAGGATGCCACTGCCTAAAACCAGGGGATTGCTTCATTTTAATGGCATTTGGTGGTTTTACTACACTCCCTATAAGCTTTCCTAGTCCTCTCATCCCCAAACTCTCCACCACTGTAATAAGTGCCCTGTTCTGCCATTGAAGTAACTGATTTTCATAGAAGATTACGTGCCTGAACTTGCAGGTACACAACATAATATTCTTCACTGACTAAATTCAAGAGTTTGCTTTATTTTTCCCCTCGCTTTAGATTTTGTAAACCAGAATAACCTGGAAAAAATTTCACGTTACCTGGGAGGCTGAAGCTAAAGAGAGGTACCTGAAAAATCCAAATTTTATGCTCAAAGTCTTTGAACTGAAAGACTAGCCAGTGCTGTCAGGCGGTGGGAAAAGTATGGGGGTTCTTTAGGGAAGACTCATCTTTGGATCCTGTTAGTGAAGGGAGAAACTGGTTTGGAGCTAAAGGAAGGACAAAGTAAGAAGGTCCAAGTAAAGGCTGAAGTATCACATAAGCAGAGTGGGGCTGATAGAGGGACCGTGCCAAGCTGTAGAAGTCACGTTGTGAAGCAAAGAAAAGGGATTACTGTGTCAGGCGAGAGCGAATAAGCTCCGTAGTTCGAAGGCTTGCTGCCATGACCCCGGGCGGATACACTTATTTGTGTGAGTCAGTCACGGCGTGGAAAACGTCTGCAGCCCAGATGACAGAATCCCCCTGGGCCAGGAGCCGTGGGGACCCCGGCGCTGGCTGGGCGAGGCGGGGCGGCACTGCCGGCTGGGCAGGGGAGACACCGAGGCCCCGGCCAGGTAGGGAAGCCCCCTCGCCCGCTCCGCGGAAGGCGGCGCACAGCGCGGCGCCCGCCTTCCGCCCTTGCGAAGCGCGCGGCGCAGCGGAACGCCTTGTGCCGCCTTCCTCCGCCGCGGAGTCCCCTCCTCCCCGTGCTTCCCGGCGCCGCGATCCGCTGCGGGGAAGGCGGGCGGGCGGCTGATTGCGCGAGCCGGCGGCGCGCCCATGGGGAGAAGCGCGTGCCCCCCAGCGTCCAGCTTCCTCCGCGCCTGCGAGCAGGGCGACCTGCGACACGCCCCGCCTCTTGGGGCTGCCGCGCCGGCGGCGGCGGCATCGCCGACCTGGCGGAACTCCTCCTCCTGCGGCCCCGAGGAGCAGCGCGGCGGAGCCCCGCGGAGAAGCGGCGCCCGCCGAGCCCTGCCGTGACCCTGGACCTGCAACGGAACGAGCCGGGAACACGGGGCTGCAGTTCGCCGGCGCGGGCGGGCCACTGAGCAGCTAGTGGCGGTGCCTGGCTGCGCAAGGGCCTCTGGTAACATAGCAGCCACTACGGGATGAGCCCCCTCATGCAAGCGGCCAGGTACGGAGGGGGGAGCGGGACGAAGCGCTGTCGGCCGCTTATCCCGCTCGCCGCGGGGCAGCCGGCCTAGTCTCGGGGCAGCCGCCGGGGCGGGAAGGCCCAGCCCGGCGGCCCTCCCTCCCTTCTCCGCCCCAGGGCTGCCGCGGGCGCTCGACTCCCCTGCCCTTCTAATCCCGGTCCCCGGGCCAGGGGAGGGCGCCCGGGAGCGCTGGGGAGCTCCAGGCGGGTCAGGCGTGTGGGAGAGCGGGCGGGCGCCATGTTGGAGGCTGCGGTCGGTCGTGGCCGGGGTATCCCGGCGTTATGTCGGGGGAGCGAGCCGTCACCTGTTCCCGTCCCTGGGGGTGGGTGAGGAGGGGTTGTCTGGTGTAGATTTGGGTAGGTGTTGGTCTGGGGCATTAGGTTTTTATCTTTTGTGGTGATCGAAGCAGTGAACGCTATTTCTTGAATAAAGCCAGCGCAGAATTGCAGTCAAAGGTAACCCGAACGTGAAAACACTGCTCCCCTCTTTCCTTCTGTGACAATAGGATACACACGTACCGTTACTTAATTTTTATTTTTTTTTTGGGGGGGGTATGTATGTGTCTTACCTACTTGTTGAAAAGTCACGTCTGACATAAAACATACTGAAGCAAACAGACACAATTAATTTCCCTTGGCTTTCCCATGTGTTCCTAAATGGCTCGCTGGAGGATATGGAAAATCATTGCTGAGAGTTTTTAATAACAAAACTGTGTTGTTTTCTGCATGGGTGATGCTGTACTTTCTGTAACCCACTGCTAGACTATGGGAGGTCCTCGAGTTGCTCATGCTGGTATTGGTGCTTATCTTTACACGTACAAGTATGCTTTGGGCTCACAGGCATGTTTTGCGGGGTTGGAGGGCAGTGCTTTGCTACGATGACTGAATGCTTAATTGAGAGGAGAAATGTTTTTTTGTGTTTTGGTATTTTTTTTTTTTCAGTTTCATAGCGTTTGAATACTTGAAAGAAAAGAATCTGTTTCAAAGTCAACATTTCTCTTTTCAATTAACGGCCATAGAAAGTTCCCAAAGAATGAGTCACACAGCTGGTTCCCCAGCAAGAACAAGGAAGACAAGGTTCAACAATTTTGTTATTTTATGAAGGTTAAAAAAAAAGGAAAAATAGTTGCAGAAACAGTCTTAGATTTTTTCCCCTTAATGAAAACCATACGCTCATTCTGTAATAACAATAAAGTCAAATCACTATAGCCCTCTCACTGATTTCAAGAAGTTACTTGCTGACACTTGAAAAGTATTGTATGTATTATTGAAACCTGTGCAGAAAGCATAAAGTAGAAGAGCATGTTTCTTTTTTCTTTTTGGATAACCAAAAAGGAAACATAGTGTTTATACCAAGGTAAGTTTGAGACTATGTAGTGTTTAATTTTCTGGCTGTCGTTAGTCCTATTGAAATTGCCCAGGAGATAGCATATGTGCATAAAATTAATCATGTGTACAGGGGTTGCAGGCTCTGCTGAGGTGATGCAGTGAAGACTACCAGGATAGACCTTGTGACTATGCAGGCCCTGGAGGCTTCCTCCTGCAACTGTGTACTTTCTGAAAGGAAACTAAGGACATTTGGTCTCACGTTTGCTTTTAGTGGTTAGTAGCATTATTCAGGAATTCCTCAACTAACATTTACTCTGCTGCAGTGTACAAAGACTGCTTTTAGTGTTGAAGTTGGATTGTGTTACAAGCACTGCACAAACATACAGTTATGCATAATGTCTGCAACAAGAGCACAAGGCGCACATCTTGTCAAAGTATTATGTTTATTAAAATGTGGGGTTCCTCAGCTGAGGAACAGTAAAGGTTTTCCTTTTCCTCATGGTTACCTAGCTGGTTGGGTGTATGGCTTGCACGATTGTCTTTTGCTTACTGACAAACTACCAGAGCCTCTGATAATCAAGTCGTATCAAAGCTTGGTTACTGATAAAAGTGGTGTCTGAGTTCAGTACTCTGACCAAGTTCTTGTAGATATTCTACACAAGGAGGGTTTAATGATTTCATTCCAGCTTTCTTTATTGGAACATACTGGATGTTACATAGGGTTTTGATTTAGCCCAGTGATACAGCAGTCTCCTGAAACTGTAGCACAAGCCTGACATAGCAATTGCACAATAGACAGTCAAACCAGAAGACAAACAGCACACAGCCATTACCAGTCCCTGTAGGCTCACCATCACAATGCTGGGTGTTGGGAGGAATGGGTTAAAAATCAGAAGACTGTCCAGCAAGATTGTAAATCTCCCAAGAGACCTTCCAGCTGGGACTAACTCTTGATAAGCCTGTGTGAACAGCAGGCCAGTGATCCTCTAGCACGGACTGATGATGATGCATGTGTCTCTGATTGCTTACCTCTGCCTGTGTGTTGCTTTGTGGATCCCCTGGTTCACAATTTAACAGAAATTAATTTACCTTTTTCATTTTAGCTGCAAATTTGTGGTGGTTATAGCTGCCTGTCTGTGTCAACTCACACACTAGGTATCCCCAATTACCAGGGAGGAATATGTAACTGGAAGCCAAGCCCAGCTCAAGTGCCTTACTCTCTTCAAAATTCGTTTTGTTGGTTGCTCAGTTTTGGTGCTCTGTGTTGGGCTGAACTGTATAAACACTTCCCCCATGCTGGTCTGGTTGACTTAGAAGCAGAATATTTTCCATTGATTGTTGTAGGGAAGGCCATTCACACAGACAGTTGTCCCACTCTTCTAATAGAGCCATTTCTCTCTCTGATCCCCTTGGTGTTGAGTAAAGTTGAGGTTACTCTACAACAGCTGTGGCCACTGGCTGTTCATCTGAGCTTAACAGGCACATTCGTGTCTTCTTTCATTGTGGGTGTTAATTGATGGTTCACAACTGGAAAACAGGGGATAATGCAAATATAAAAGACTAGCTATCCAGTTCATAAAATGGCCATTTTTCTTTTTTTTATTTTGCACTGACTCTTTGCAGTTTTTACTCTACTAGTTCAGTAGTAATGAGGATACTTAATTAAGATCTCTGGAAACAAATTGGCTTTGATTCTTGAATGTGATACAGCCCTAGAAATAAAATGAGAGTGACCTTCTGGTTCATGTTAGTTATGAGTTGGTACCATGCAGCTGAAAATGAGGCTGGCAGGTTGCTGCTTTAACCAGACCATCCTCTTAAATAAGGGTCTGCTTTATGGGCGTGGTCACTGGTATATGTGGAATGGTTTAGTTTACAGTCCTCAGCTGACAATTGCTCTCCTCCAATGAGGTGATCACTGTCATGTTCAGTGTTGTGTGTATGATCCTTCATAGTGTATTAGTCAACAGACCAATTCGATGACAGAGTTTTCTGAGTTCAGAGTATGTTGGTTTTGGCCATCCAAGGTGTTAATTCTCCTCCCTTTCTCTTTCTCTCAAGGTTTGGACATCTAAGTGTGGCCCACATCTTGCTGGAAAATGGTGCTGATCTCAATGCACAGAATAAGTTAGGAGCCAGTGTCCTCACAATGGCCTCCAGAGGTGGCCACGTCAGCATGGTGAAGTTGTTGCTGGAATCTGGAGCTTTTGTAGACAATTACGACCATTTTGGCACAAATGTACTTAACAGCAGCAGAGACGACCTTCCCGATATCACTCCATTAATGGCAGCTGCTCAGCATGGACATGAGGCAGTGGTGCATCTGTTACTAGACTGGGGAGCTGATTGTAATTACACTGTGAAGACGATGGGCTGGAGTCCTTTAATGCTGGCAGCTGTTAGTGGAAAGGTGAGCTTGGCACAGCAGCTCATGGAGAAAGGTGCCAATCCTGATCACCTGAATGTACTACATAAAACACCTTTTGAAATCTCTGTTGGCTTCAAACACAAAGACATGAAGGACTACTTGGAATCTCTCACAACGATCAGACCTCAGGCAGGTATGGAGTGTTATTTTTTTGTTTCACTTTCTTGCAGTTTTGATTGTGTATTTAGAAATGGAAAGTCTCATTGTGTATGTGCATGATGTTCTTTATAGTTTGTAACTAGACTATTTTGACTATATCGGAGTAGGTACACCTACTTCAGGTGAGGTACGAGCGCCCAACATCAACAGATTTTTTTCCACATTAGCAGGGTGAGATTACTGTCTTGCAATAAGAATCATGTGAAACATAAGAATTATATGAAACATACTTTTTACTTTTAAAGCACATGATCCAGGTGCTCATTTAGGAGGAAAATTATAAAGGCCTATTTGAAATGACATGAAGAAGTGGCATAAAAACCAGAATAGGATATCAAAGAAACGATGTTGCAGACTCAATGAAAACCTAAAAATAGAGAATCTAGCAAACGTACTTGTCAGGAAAGACTGAAGAGTTCAGTCTGTCTAGTTTCATGATGAAGTGACTAAGAAGTGAAGTTAATAAAGTGTCTGTGTTAAAGACAGAAGGTCAAATAGTGGAGGACCTTTTTATGTGGTTGCGAAATTAAAAAACTGTGAGTTTAAAGTTAGAGGAATTTAAACAGGAAATAATATACTATGGTGAAGCTTTGAGCTGAAGTGACTTAATAGAGGTGTGCAATCTCTAACAGTTGCAATCAAGGTTAAATGCCTCTCTAAAACTTGTTCTTGGGTTGTCTTCATTGGGTGTTGCATACAAGGCCTGTGACACACAGAAAACCAGATGAGGTTAACTTAATGTTTTCTTCTACCACTCTGAATATGAAACCTACTCCAAGTCCTTTGAAAGTGGACTGTGTATTCTAAGAAAACTGAGTATTAATGTGGATGAATAGCAGGTTGGCATGTCCCCTGCTTCTCTGATCCTTGGAGGAGTGGGGAATACTTAATTAATCTGTTTAATTTGAACATTGTGTAGGACATTTGAACGTCAATAAGTCATTTCAGAGACTGAGACCTTATTCTGTATGTGGCTGTTTTCGAGACACTTTTCAAGATATTTATGCTTTGTGATGCAGACCAGTGCTGAGAGGTGCTCAGCAAGAGGATTTGCAAGAGCTATATTTGGATTTTCCAGCTTTGGAGTGCTTGCTATAAAATCTAAGGATGTGTCTAGCTCTAGAAAGATCCTTTTGTAGATGCCACCACCCATCCAGCCATGGTGGCAGAAACTCTGCAGGGTAGGATAGTCCACGTTAAACTCTATGCCACCTGTGATACCTAAATAGGCTTACTTAAATCTTACCTATTTGTGTCTATATTGCACTGCCACGTAGACACGTCCACAATCCCCAGAACTGTTAATTTTTATTTACATTTGGTGCCATTCCTGCAGGTCAAGCTTCCTGTGTATTTGAAGAAGTAAGGACAAAAATCAGACATTTGTTTCTGCTTCAGGGAAGGTGTTAGTCAGGTGTTGACTCCTGAGTTAAGCTGGAGCTCTAAGGCTTTCATACAGCCACACTGCCAGGCAGAACTGGTTGACTGTAGATGTTTGCTCATGACCAGTCCCTTGAGGAATAGAAATGAATATATGTGAATATACACATGGATGTACAGGATGTATGTGCAGACAGAGTTGGGTTGATGAATCTTGAAAAACCTTCTGTGGTCACACCACTTAAAGTATACCGAAGAAGGCTGTTAAAGCGAGGAGAATAGAATGTCAGAGGAATGATCCTTCACTCAAAATATTACAATTTGTAATAATTGCAGTTCTTATTAATGGGAATGGCAATCTGGGAGCAGAAAGATATCTATTGACGCACAAATAACAAGATGTGTAGGTAAACTGTCACTGTTATTTTTCACAAATTAACCCAGCAATACTCAAGAGGAAATGAAACTGGGACAGCTTCTAAAACACCTTGCAAAATAATCCTGTACTATTTGAGTGTTCACTATCGTACAGAGGATTACACCTGACCACAGAACCATACTGTGGTTCTTTAATGGATATTTTAGTCTTCCAGGCAGGAAACAGTAGAGTTACCAAATACAATTTCCTGATAGAGAATGGAATTTGAAAAACCTGTGCTGGTGCTGTATTATGGTTTGTAGCTTTAGCTCTGCGAAGAGAACCGTACAGGTGAGTTACTCTTCCCAAAGGGGATAAAGTTGTTGTCAGTGGTTTCTTTGTTATTATTAAATGTATGTCTAAACATATGTTTTACAGTACTTTTATGTAATTTTTAGTGGTTTTTGCTATAAAAAAATTACTAGAAATTATTGCTTTTTAATTGATTGCTAATAGAAATATTTATATTCCTTCCAGATACAGAAAAGAAGCAACCTGATGTCTTTCATGCTTTGAAACTGGGTAAGTACTGAACAATTCTTCCACCATGTCTAATTGTTGTAACTTTTTTGAGCATGTTTGTTTCCTAACATGGGAAGCAGACTTCTGTTTCTTCTCATCAGATGTAGGCTACCAAAGCCTCAGGTCTGTTAGATTTTTAGAGAGTTCAGGTTCCCCTCTTGTACCCCTGTGATTACTGAGATTTACAAATATTGGTACTGGGTCAGAAGGAGAACTAGAGGAAGGGCCACATGAATATTGGTCAGTATACTCTTTCTGTTTGGGGTTTTTTTGCCAGCACTGTTAAAAAAAGCAACTCACTAGGTTAAGGGTTGTCCAGGCCAGGGTTCAAAGTAAATTCTGGAGTCTCTGTAGGTTCCAGGGTTTCTGTTTAACAAAGTCTATGATGTGAGTCTGTATTAAAAAAGCCACCTGCTGCCTTTTACCAAATTGGGACACAAAAAATTAGTTCTGTGCTTTTGTATCATTCCCATTCCAACAAATCAGCTGAGTGTTGTTGTTGGATGTTAGTTCTAGTGAGTGCACTCAAGTGCCTGCAGGGTTTGTCTGGAATTCTGACTGACTTTCCAAGGAAAATGTACACGCCTGTGATTGAGTTGAAGGCAGCCCATGCCGTGAAGCAGTTTTCCATCTGTTTAAAGGTGTAGTGGGTTGACCCTGACCAAATGCCAGGTACCCACTAAAGCCACTCTCTCACTTCCCTCTGCAGCTGAACAGAGGAGAAAAAAAAAACCCGCTAAGGATTCATGAGTAGAGATAAGAGCTGGGAGAGGTCTCTTACTGATTACCTTCATGAACAAAACAGGTTCAAAGTAGGGATATTACTTAAATTTGTTACTAACAGGATCAGAACAAAAGAGTGAGAAGTGAAATAATCTTAAAAACACCTTCCCCCCACCCCTCCTTGCCGCAGTTCACTCAGGAAATGAGGGACTACACACTCCAAGGGTTCAGATGCGAAATGGTCGAGGAACTTTATTAAATTGAACTGATTTCTGGAACTGAAGGTGGACTTCAAAATGGCTCCTGCCTTACCTATCGTAAGGCGAGAACATGCTGGAAGGTGGGCGGAATTAGGGAAGGGTAAGGGCGGTGCATGCAAATTAACAAGAAAACGCAACTAAATATGGAAACCACTGCAATGCAGTAGAAATTAACCAGTGGGGGGACAGGGTATAGGCCCATGAGGGAGAGTGGAACTTTCCAGCATTAGAGGTACAGTATATGGGGAATTGTACAACAAACACAACATAAAACAAAACACAACATTGAAACACAACATAAAATCCAAAATGCATATTCTTCACTAGTTCACAAAAGTCTGTATCTGCTTATAAAGTCAGAAAGAATGCTGAATTCGGTGCTCTACTTTCAATCTTCATTTCCTCACCTCCAACACCTCCTTCTTTCCATGTTCTCTTTCCTCCCTCCCAGCAGTGCAGGGAAGCAGGGAAAGGGGGTTATGGTCAGTTGTTGTTTCTGATGCTGCTCAGGGACAGGAGTCCTTCCCTGCTCCCATGGGGTCCCTCCCATGGGAGACAGTCCTTGATGGACCTTTCTGGCATGAGTACATCCCACAGGGAACAGTTTTCACAAACTGCTGTCCCGTGGATCACTTCTCCATGGGGTGCAGTCCTTCATGAATGAGCTGTACCGATGTGGGTCCCCCAGAGGAGCCACAAGTCCTACCTGGGAAAAGCCCACTCCAGCGTGGGCTCCTTTCTCCACAGGCTGGAGGTCTCCAGCAGGACCCTGCTCCATCTTAGGCCTCCCACGAGGTCACAGCCTCCTCACGGTCTCTGCACCCCGATGGTCCTCCATGGGCTGCAGAGGGACAGCCTCCATCATGGTCTTTACCACGGGCTGCAGGGGCCTCATCCAGTGCCTGGAGCACCTCCTGCCCCTCCTTCTGCACTGACCTTGGTGTCTAAATTGTTGTTCCTATGTTCTCACTCTGCTCTTGCCTGGCTGGAATTCTCTCTGCGCAGTAGCTTTCTGTTCTTAAATACATTATCACAAAGACATTACTCCTGATTGGCTTGGCCTTGGCCAGCAGCAGGAAGTCTATCCTGTAGACTGGCATTGGCTCCACCAGACAGAGGAAGCTTCTAGCAGCTTCTAGCCACCTCTGTAGCCCCCCCTGCTACCAAAACCCAACCACAGAAACCCACTACAAAAGGTGAGACTTTTTTCATTTGCACGACAGTTATGATTTGCTTATTCCTACCTCTGTTCCTATGGTGGTACGTACAGTCAGAGAGCTTTTCTTTCCTTTAACTTCCCTGCTTTTACTTGCCATATATCATCAAAAAAATAACGGAGCTGGGTGAGCTTAAGCTCTCTAAGATAACCCTGACTACTTCATATATTTTTTAAAAGTGCTTGCTCCTAATTTAAGTTTAGAAAAAAACACAACCTTGTTGAAATATATTCAGTAACATATTTTGTACTGCTTTTCCTAATCTAGACAGGAACTCAAGTGACTAGCAGCCCTTATACTTGGAAACTGGAACATTAACTTCACTTTGAAAAAACTAGAAAGATGTCAAATGATGCATTACTCTTGAGCAGGGAGTAGGGATGTTTTGCATTGGAGATTTAGTTCAAATACTGGAGGCAGAACTTTAAAAAATCATTCTGAATATAAGAAAGTTGAGCACTGGAGTAGATTAACTCCTTGGAAGGTTGTGGAATTCTATCAGTAGAGGTTTTTTGAATCAGTGAACTACTTCTGTTAGAGGAACTTATGGGTTAGTGTGACACAAAGCATTTTTCTACCTCCTTAAGGCAAGGCATGGCCTCCTCTGGCACCTTTTAGAGTACCTTTCTACCCACTTAGTCTGATTATAAAATTGTTGCTTTCTGTGATTTCAGCCTGTGGAAATGGAACAGGGATCTTGGAGTCATCAGTTTTCCTTGCACAACATCATCTCAGCACAATTTAGTAGAAATATTCCCTATTTGTGTCTTCACATGTGGTTTGCAGTTTGTACAGCTTCCCAGCTTAGTCGTTCATTTCAGAAAATAATTCTTCTAATGGAGTTGCACTGTGAGTGTACAGGTAGGGAAAATCAGGAAAATACAGTGTCCCGTGCTTATGCCACAATTTTATGTACGCTGAAAAGATGTACTAATTAACTAAAAGACCAAAGATCAGTACAGATTTTTAGCTTTAGTGTTGCAGTTGCTCTAGTACTTTATTTTTTTCTGTTTTAATTCCACTAGATGTAGAGCAGTGTCAGCAAATCAAAATACTTAATAATTCAGTGGCTGAGCAGTTCTCTGTTGCCCATGTAGATTTTGTTTTATGCCTGTTTTGCAGGAAACTTCCAGCTGGTTAAAGAGATTGTTGATGAAGACCCAAGTCAGGTCAATATTACCAATGTTGACGGTGCATCTCCATTAATGATTGCAGCTGTAACTGGACAGCTACCCCTTGTGCAGCTCCTTGTTGAGAAAAATGCTGATGTTGATAAACAGGATAATGTTCATGGCTGGACAGCACTGATGCAGGCCACATACCATGGGTAAGATATGTACTGTCTTTGGGTCTAGCAGTAAAGAAGTTTAATTCTTCTTGCATCCCAATAGAAAAAAACCTTTTTGATACTGACTGTGGAAGCAGAGGGGTCTTACAAGAAATTGAGAGACTTGTGACCTCAGTTTTCCGTGACTTATGCACTGTCCTCAGCTTTTCAGACCTGAATGATGTTTGGACTTCAGAATGAGTGAAACATTTGGGAACTTGAAGCTTGCTAAATAAATGCTGAGAACATAGTGCTCCAGGAGCTTTGGTGCAGATTTCAGTTTCCATCCTTTGATGTTTTTCAGCATTGTGAAAGATAGTATCACCCTGCCAGGGTTGTAAGCCACATCAAGCTGTGAAAATTCAAGGCAATCACCCTTCCATGTGCCTTATTTTCCAGTCTTAAACCATTGCTGTGTTTCCTTATTCAGCCTTTAGTTTTCATGGAGTTTTCAGAAATGCAACCAAACTGTCATTTTCTCTAAAGCTCCTTTATAAATGTAGGTAGACACTTAAGAGTCAGACCCCAGAAATTTGCCTGGCTGGTACTTCACGTATGATCTCTGTTATACACTTGGCACTGTCTGAATACAGTTTTACTGTGATGAGCAATTGGGAGTGTGAGTGTTGGTGTACAGTTGAAGGGTAGAAGAGTCGTGTGTGTAAAGCCACATTTGGGGTGCCCCAGTTTGGCTGGAACACCTCATGTGCATAAATAAATACTTAGCCTTGTAATTCTATACTTTGCATCTTAGCCTTTTCTCTTGGCATGGACCAGTTGCAAATTCTTAACATTTGGAAATCTTTAACCTCCACAGAACCTCAGCTAACCCTTCCTGAGGAACATCAGTGGTGTCGAGGGTCTCAGGCTTGAAGGAGGGAGCAGACAAGTTCTTTGTGAGCTGGGGCGCTAAAGGATTGCATCTCTGTGTGCCCTCAAGGTTCAGGACTGGAAAGCAGGATGGAGGGATGATACAGTTTTAAGGAAGAGAAGTAATGGGAAGTATGCAGAGGAGCTGTGCTTAGGATAAGCAGAATTTTTATTAGAGGAGTAACAGTCCTCCTCCATTTTGGGTTGATTTTTGTCTGGAGTGAGTTCAGCAGTGAAAACTTTGTGTGTATGATAAGTGATGCTCTGGAGATACTGAGATCTGTTTGTCAGCCTTCAGTGTTAGAATTTGCAGTCACTATTGCTGATTATGTTTTTGCTTTGTGTTGTTTATGCATGTCAGAGTTTGTTTTAATACAAGGTCAGTTGCTGCTCAAGAGAAGTTTTGTATTAAATATATTTTTTTGTAGCTTTGTTGTCTGCTCAATTATTTTGTAGGCAGAATTAAAGTATTGTTTTTAACTCAGGAGGCAAGTCCTGCTTATTTATTCAGGTGTATGAGAGGGGAGAGGGGCTAATGGAGCTGAGGTGGTGAGTGTCTTTTATGCAGCTGCCTTTTAGGAGCTTTTGTTGGAAGGTGTTTGTGTTGGTTGACATTTAATGCTGATTGGTTTTGCATTTTAAACACCTCAAGGAAGTGATAATGTGCTTTCTAATTATATAATTTATATCTGTAATTAAGTGAAGTACTGTTTGAAGTTTATAATTATCTTCAGTCAATTTGGCTTTTCTGTGTGCAATTTCTTAATATGCAAGCTGTGAATGTGAGGTTGAGTTGAAGTCCTAGTGATGGCATATGACGACTACTGAGCTGACCTTTGTCTTTTCATCTGCTTTTGTGCCCTAGGCATTAATGGCCCTTCATTGGGAAGGTATTTGGCAACAAATTCCAGTCAGTTCCAAAGGATCAGTTTAAAAAACTGGCTATTCAAATTAGGTTTTTAAGGCTGACTTTCTGCATGTCAATTAATGTGACTTGTAGTGAGTAAAACAGTGACTGGCAAGGGAATCATGGGAGCTTCTAAAGAGCTTGTGAATAAATTTTACACTAGATTAGTTGCAGAAAAGGTAAAACATCTCTAATTGAGGAGCAATGTTATAAAAGGTTGAACATGGAATATTGGGTGCTTCTATTTTATTTATTTATTTTTTAAGTGATCAACACCTTTTTTTTTATTCCCTTAAAGAAACAAAAACGTTGTAAAGTATTTGTTAAATCAAGGAGCGGACGTCAATCTTCGTGCAAAAAATGGATACACGGCTTTTGACCTCATAATGCTGCTGAATGATCCAGGTATGCTATTTCAAAAAACTCTGGGGAAATGTACAACATAAACAAACAAACTTCCTTTCCAATCTAGAAAATACATGAAAGTTGCTAGGAAGTATCCTCTGATGTCCAGGCTGGACTGGACCGAGAAAGAACATTGCCTGAAAATGGTGGGGTTTGAGTTAATTAGATGAGTGTATACATTTATGGGATAACAGATTTTATGCATTCCTCTTGACTTCGTTTTTGAAGATGCTCAAAAAAATGTGGTGTTTGTTTCACGAGAGCCAGTTCAATGGCATTTCTGGGGGCACAGGTGTTCTGTGGTGTCATTAGCACCATGGAACTGGAGCTAGAAATTTCCCCTTGGTAAAGAGCATCAAAGGACAGGACAAAAAGGCTGTAGTTGGAACAAAAGTAGGGGACTCCTGGCTGAACCTCACACTAATTTTGTAAAGGCTGAGAATAAATCACACTTCAGGGTTCAGGTTGTTTTTCACTTTTTTTAAAGGGAGTGCTCTAGAAAAAGCAGCATGCTTTGGGAAGACTTCAATGAAATACATATAGTTTTTGTTTTAGTTTGTTTAGCCTACATAATTTGTTATTGTTAGCCTTGCTTGGTACCTAAATTGATTTATCTGAAGCCAAAACCCACTACTGCTAATGAAATTAATGCTTCTTTTCTCTGTATTTACACGTTATAATGGTTTTGGTCACTAGCAGGTTCCTTTCCTTGTCAAAAATAGATCATTAATAGCATGAAATTTTAGGAAATAAATACAGTGAATTGTTTTAGAACTAACTTCTGTGACAGAATAGTTTGTCTTGTAACCTTTCTTTCTTGATCAGTTCTGTCTATTCTTCTGAAAATCCTATCTGAGTGCCATATAAAATGCAGATTTACAGAATATTTTTTTTGCTTTCCTGTCCTCATGTCATGCTTGTTCTTTTTTCTTCTTCTTACTTTTATTTCTTTTTTTGTCCACCTTTTTTCTTACCATTTCTTTTCAGTCCCTTCATTGTCCAGGCTGAACATCTTCTTTCTCTTTGGGATTTAATTTCGAGCTTCTTTTCTGCAACCTGCACTTGAAGAAAGAATATTCATTTTTCTCTACTCTCTTCTGTGTCAGGTGAGAAAAGGGAGCATCACAATGTTGTTCTTAACTTGTACAAAGTGTGAGAGGAGGCAGTTCAGTTGGTCACACGTGACTGATTCTGACTGAATAGCTTGCTTATTTATATTGATAAATACCTTTAGAGAGGTGATGATAAGACTGCATCCCACTGTGTGTGGAGAAGGTGTGGGAAATGTAGGTCAAGAAAGAAGGTTTGGGGTAACGGTAGATCCATTACTACTTATGTGGGATTTATAGGGAAAAGTGTCAGAGTCATAATTTAGGAAAGTAAACCAGACCAAACATTGTCTTAATTTGCTTTCTTTTAGATACAGAGCTTGTAAGACTACTGGCATCAGCATGCATGCAAGTAGACAAAGACAAGAATAAACTGAACAACAGATCATCTTTGCCTAGTTCCAGAAGTAGGCAATCCTTAAATGTCCCAATGTTGCCAGATGACAAAGGAGGTCTAAAGGTAAATATGTTTACTCTTGATAAATAACACAAATTAAATTAAATTGCATATTCCTGCAATGTATAAGCAGAGAAAGTAATTGCTAAGAAGTATTTTGGATCTAATACGTAACTGAGTTTTTGGGGGAGTATGTGTGTGTTTCTGAGTTTCTTGTTGACAGTGCTTCCTGGTTTTATAGAGTAGCATGTGTTGAGCATTCTTTTTCTCAGTTGGCAATGCAATAGGAAGACTTAAGGAAGTTTGCATTGAAGCATTTCAGTGCTTAGAAATAGATCTCATAATTAAGTGGAAGGTACCATGTTCATAAGTTTGGAACTCAGTTTCCATTAGGATCTTAATTTTAAATCTGTACAGAGGATAGCCTTTATACCCAGAAATGGAAGCAGGATATTGGCATTGAAAATTAAGAAAATCATAGCAGAGATTTTAATATGAAGAGTAGTAGAAGAGTGTGCAATTCAGGCTTACATGTCCTCTACCATGCTGTATCCTTAGCTCCAAATTGATGGTGGTCCAGTAGGAAACAACATATTGAGTTAGAATAAATGTGTGCCATTTAAACAAAGGTATTGGGACTTATATTGTCTGTTTGCAAAAGAGAAGGGAAAAGTGTTAGTTAATTTTTTTATTGTTACTGTTGTCCATTTACTTGAATAGTTTTTAATTATGATGTGCCTCAGAATTTCCTTGAGTCCGTGATGTCATCTTTTAAGTATAAATATTATCAGGGTGTTGGAAACAGACGTGTTACTTTCCAGGCTGTTTTTGACATGAATTTTAAAGCCTGTTTAAAGTTCTGCTTCAGCTCAACTATGTTTTGCAGTTTTAGTTATGAATGAACATCTGCTTATTTTCATATGGTTACGCTATTATTCAATATGATGCAATATCAGTATCAATTTAAACCGGTCTATATAAGAATGCAGTTACTTAGGTGGGAAATTGTCAGAATAGCTTTTTGCTTTATGGAATACAGATCAACAATAGATTGGATTCCAGCTCTTGCAGTGTTATGACACAAAGGTTTGAATTAAGGTCATAAAAGATTATGAAGTGAAATATAAAAAAAATTGTCAAAGACATACAAATGAATACTGACACAAATTCCATATTTGGGAATACTTAAGTATTTGGTCTCAAAACTACAAAATATTACAGTGTTTACAAGTCTTAAACAAGCATTTTTTCAGCAGAAATTATATTCTCTGTAGTTCTCTGATATATATAACCTGGAAGCCAATATAGTCCCTTCTTCCATCACTGCTTAATGCTTTATTAACCAGCCTGTCTGACCATGAGTATGTTACATATCCTACTCTCCCTACAAATGTTGAAACAGGGTAAAAATGGTATTTTCAAATTGTCTGAGTGGAGGGCAGTGTTGTAACACTCATCTCTCTTTTGACCAGCCTGTGAATTTTTTTTCAGTCATTCAATAAATGTTACATGAAATAGCAAAAAAAATTTTATTAAAGTCAAGCTACAATACAGCTTTTCCTCCCTTCTGCCCACCTTACTGGTTACTCTGTCAAAAAGAGATATTAATTTGATGGATTTATTCTCGACAAACCCATGTCATATGCTATGTCATATGAGCTGTGATGATGTTTGAAGTTTTTTCAATTATATCCTTTCAGATTAAGCATTTTGATCAGTAAATCTTCAGTTTTTCCTCTTTGGGTGATTGTGCCTTTACCTTTTGCCTGATTTCTGTAACTTCCTCCATCCTCTTTTATTGAAGATAAGCAATATTTGTTCAGAGATCGTGTTGTCTATAGTTACTCTAGGGTAATTTTAATCAATCTTGTCTGGTTTTAATTTGTGCAAGCTCATTTAAATACTCCTGCTCTGTTAAGCGAATAGACATATATTCCTACCTCTCCTGTTAATGATATTCTTACTAAAATATCTGATCACAGGTAGGCTGGTTTTGGAGTTTAAAAAAAGAAACCCTTTTCAGTCTCTCCTCTTTGATCACTTTTGTTGTTAACTAGTAGACTTTTTATTTTGTTATACGTTTCTTTTATTTGTTATTTATGCATAATAAAGGCCCTTGTTCCTTTACCTACTGACTATGCAGTGGATATTCATGATTGCATTATTTACCTCTTTCACCCAAGAACTGCTAACTGCTTTGTTTGTCACCATTTCATAGCCTTGAAAACAAAGTTGTGCCTTTTCCATATGCAAAAATTTTATTTCCTCTTTTTTCTTCCTGCTTGTTTTCGGCAAGTTGTACTCTCAATGTCAGTATTAGAGCTGTATGAATTATCACATTCAGTTTCTATTTTAGATTAAAGTTGTTTTAGGGCAGAGATTTCCAGTTCTACCCCTTATGCTTTCATTCCTAGTATTGTTACAAATGTCTAAGGTATTTCTCAAGGGGCAACATAATTTTTCTAGTTCTTTGATGCTGTTCCCTTCTCCCACTGCTGCTAGATTTCACCCTCTTGATGGACACATGTTTTTAGCCATAAATGCATTTTTGTTACTTGACTGCTTCAATGTAATTCAAAGCCCTTTACTCCAACCTCTGTACCTGTGTGATGTGGTAGGGGCATATGGAGAGGCCATGACCTCCTGCAACAGCTGACTAAAAACTCCGGAGCTCAGACCATCATACTGTGAACACCAGAGCACAAGATGAACTTCTCCAGTATAGTTCCTTTCTTGCCAGAGATCAGCGGGTTTTTTTCTGGTAACATGGTGGCTGTACTTACTGTATTTGGGATTAGTTTGTGGTGCAAGCACATGTTAAAGAAACAGAAGCAGTGTGAGGAGGAGTAACAGAGATGACGAGCAATCAGAAGTGATCTTTCTTACACAAGCAAGCCAGCGTCAGTGAACGAAACCAAACCACGTCGTGCAAGCACTCTCGATTGTAAATTCGTTGTACTCTAGGTTAAACCTAGATGGATTTTTTTTTGCCCTTTCAATTCCTTTTGGAAGGTGAATAAATGCTGAACTGTGTAGATTTTATTGCTTTCTCAGAGCTATTTGTCTCTCTTGCCTTTTTTCATCAGATCTTTGTTACTGAATTTAACATAAGTCTTTACCAGTTATGACTCCAAAGAGACACAGAGGTCTGAGAACTCTATCCACTACTAATGCTCTGTGCAGATCTAAAATCTTTTTAATGATCTGCTACAGGGATTCATATGCAGGGGATAAGTTTACAGTTTACCTTACTTCTACTATATGACAATTGAGAAGACATGTATCAGTGAGCAACTGAAAAATACTAAAGAAGAGAGCAGAATACATATTGTGAGAAGGGGTGGTTAAGAATAGAGAGTAAAGTAGGGAAGTGTTGTTATCTAGGTTGGCTATCACATAAAACTGCTTTGATGAAGTATTGTCACTTATATATAACTTTTTTACAAAAAGGGTTCCAGAAAGGGAAGAAGAAACTTTACTAAGAAATAATCAGAAGATCCTTATAATCTGACTGATTTATCTACAAACCACGTAATTTTTAATGCAGATTGCATATGTCTTTCATAGTCTAGAGAAATGTCCTGCTAAAGACTTGAAGCATCTTGCATTGTCTGCCTGTAAAAATGTGCAAGTCTGTGAATACTTGAATGAATTCTACTTTGAGCAAAGATAGTCCTTTTATGTTACAATTTCTGCATATGTGATGCCTGTATGGATGGAGGTTGTAGGTACAGTAGTCCTAGGGTTTGTGTTGTTTTCACAGCTGATATTTCCTTGCCTTGCTCTTTTTCAGTTTATAGTGTTTCCAGCCTGATGGAGTTTAAATTGTTTGTGTAGCAGCACTGTATGGATTATGGGACTTTAGTTTGACAGGAATACTATTAGAACTCTTCCAGTTTGCCACTGATTTTGAAAATCTTAAGGGGAAGTTTCATTCAGATCAGATAAGCTTCTGTGCACTCTTCTAAAAAGCAGAAAATAGACATGTCCGTTCATTGATGCCAAAGAGTATAAGAATCGATGGTGAAATTGGAAGCTAATGGAAAGAGTAAATATTTGCTATGTAGCTGTAAATATTCCCTATTTAAATTGCCCTAATGTTTCTATCTACCTTGGCTTTCAGGATAGTGTGGAAAAACATTGTAATGCATTTGCCAGGTGACAAATAAGGGAAGAGATTATACAAATGATGATGAAGGATTCTGTTGATAATTGCAAACCACTTAAATGTTTCTTTTTAGTTTATCTCAAAAACTCCTTGACGGAATTTTTTTATCACTGCTGTAAGGATCACTTAATTGTACATCTCTTTTCCTTTTTTTTTCTTTTAGTTGTAACTAAATTGTTGTGTCTTCTTATCAATCTAGTCTTGGTGGAGCAGGATGTCCAATCGATTCCGCAAGCTGAAGTTGACTCAGACATTGCGCCATGGATTTCCTTCCAATCCGTTTGTACCTTTTCCGGATGAGCCTGAACCATCATTAAATTCCACTATAAAAGCAGTTTCACAGAGCGATACGGGTGCCTCTGGAAACCTTGATGCTGCTACAGCTCGGATCACAAATAACAAAGCTAGTGGTAAAGGCAGAATTGTCTTATGGGAAGTGAGCTCTTCTGGGGTACTCAAGATGATACTATTTCTAATTTATTGAATTAGTTCTTATTTAGCTTAGTATAAATGAAAAGACATGTAATGTATCTGTAGTATGTAGAAAGAGATGTTCGCATTCCTGACTGTTGATCATGCTGAACACTGAGTGCAGCATCATTTAAGCAGGAAAACGCTGATATAACCATGTTACTGTTCTTTAGCAAGCACCATTAATTTGGAGAATAGAGACAGGTCACTGAGAAGTGTTAGTATCTTTGATAAACTGATTTATATAGTGAAAACCAATTTATTTGAAGAAATAAAGAAAGAATTCTGAGAAGAAAGTGAAAAAGCCCAAATTGTAAAGCACATCTACTGAAATTGTAGAGCTCTCCATGAAACCCCCTCACCCTCAGTTTGTGATGCAAAGTAAGACTATTGGCATAACTTTAATTTGGGTGCATGACAGTGTCACTGGAAATCTTTGTTCTGTGTGCTTACTGAGGGTAAAGCTGTTGACTGTTTGAGAACAATACACTATCCTTGGGGACAAAAGTAGGAGCATGTAAACAATAAAACATCATTTATGTATTTTTCAGGTGCAAACACTACAAAAGGAGGAAAGGATGATGAATTATTGACAACCATGGTATGTTGCAGCGCTCTTGGTGTGTCAGCCTCATTCAGAAGGTTGTGCGGCTCCCATAATTTTTACAGGTTTTTACCTCCTGTCCAAGATGCCTTCAGAAGGAGATCTATCATTTGTTTATAGTCATTAGACAAGGACTGTCAGCCTTTGATACATCAGTAGTTCTTAGACTAGGAGGTACTACCAGTGGTATGATATGGAAGCTGTGCTGACTTTTTTCAAGAGTTACCCATACGTTTGTTTGATCAACAGTGAATTAGTAAAGTAGATGGAACAGATGATTGGTTGCTGACAAGATGTGTGATGTGAGGAACACATGGATGGCACATGGTGCAATGGAAGTGTGAAATTACTAGTAGAGGCAACCACAAAATATTTAGTTCAGCATGTTCATTTGTGTTATTCTGTTTCTTCTTTTGTTATGCTGTAGCTTTAAATTTCCCTACAGCTTACTCCCTAGTGATATCATTAAATTTGACTGGTTATTCTTTATGTTCTTTTGTAAGAAGTTGGAGTATCTTTTGATGTAACTGAACAGATGTAACTGATGGACAGAACTCCAGGGAGCCAAATCAGTTGTGTCATTTTTAATCTCTTTCTGGAGAACATGTACAGCAGGAACAAGCAATTGTTCACTGTTTGCAGTTGTTCTGTCTGGAAATACAGAGAGGACTACATTGTTATTTCTTTGAAAATTAATTTTTAACATTCTTGTTAAAGTCAATTTGAAAAATATTTAGCCCAGTGAAGGAAGAGAAGTTTCTGCCACTTAATGAACTATATTCATTTTATCAAATGAATAAGCATAATATTGCGGGGTGCAACGATGTTTGTTGGATTCTCTGTTATTACATGTTGTGCTTTTTCAAAAATACCACTAGTGTCTCATTTCCATTTTATTCTGTTTAAAAATGCATGTCTCCATCTTTTTGCTTAACTTAAAATTTTGAAAGTACGTCACCAGCTCCTAGTAATCTCTTAAGAAGTGACTCTTCCCCCTCCCCCCTTCTTTGTTTTTCTCTCTCTCAGTTGAGAAGTAGTGCCCCATTTACCAGGCTGCCAAGCGATAAGCTGAAGGCAGTGATACCACCTTTCTTACCCCCCTCGAGCTTTGAGCTCTGGAATTCTGACCGAACACGACTCAGCAAAGATGGAAAAGCTGAACAGATGAGAACTGCCTGGCCACAGAGAGCAATCAAGCATGATTTTAACAGCAGCGGAAACTCTGATATAGTAAGCAAACTAAATGTGTACGAAAATACTGTGTTATGTCCAGGCCATGCTGACTGGTGAGCCACACGGTTTCTGATTAGAAATTACTTTTAACCCACTGTCTCAGTAATGGCTTGTCCTTTTAAGCAATGCTGTTTAGGAAGAATGCACATCTCCAAGGAAAGAACGTAATGGAACAAAAGTTTTGTATGAAATGAGATGGCTTTTTTTTTTCTTGGTGTTATTCAGAATAAAATAGAACCGTAACAAATTTGCTGCAGGCTGCTAAAGTTGGCTGCTGGTTCCACCCATGTTCCATGTCTTTAAGTAGCCAAAGTAGGTACAGGCACTGGAGTGTGGTCAAAACTGCTCTAATTTGGAAGAAGATCAGGGACAGAAAAAAAGAATAAGAATTGATCAATTTTTAGGACCTGAGCAGGAGGTAAGTCATATCAGTAAGACAAATATACAGACACAACATTCTGAAAGATTAGCAGTCGTTAAAATTGTAGCAAGCAATGATCAAGTGGGCTTGAAGGCATACAGCCTTAAATTGTGAAGGAAAAAAGTCTGAATTGCTTCTGGTTTTTATAGAAGGAGCTTGCCTGATTCTGCAGTGTTTTTAGTGAAAACGCAAACCAAAAGAAAAATAGCTGGTTTGTCTTGAGACAAGAAACAAAACAACCTCAACAACCTTTGCTTTCATAGTAGGAGAAAAGAGAGAAATCCTTACTCCCCTAAATGTGGACTGTAATAGTCAAGTGGAGAGAAGAGTTTATTTTACTAGTCCAGAACTGTTTCATGTCAGTTCTAGAAACAGGACACTGAAGACATTTTAGGAGGAATTTTTCTCTGTTTTCCTTTTTTTAGGTGGAAGTTAGCTTAATATCAGTAGGGGCGATTTAGGTGGAATAAGGTGGCTTCTTAGAAGGGAATTGACATAACAGGAAGGTAAACGTCTGTCATCCTAAAAAAGATGATTGTAGTAACATAAGTGGATAATTAGCTCACTTTATAAAGAGAGGAGCAGGAGAAGCAGGGGAGGACTAGTCATCAGTACTTCTGTGAGGCAAGAAGTGTTTTGCTTAGGGAATAGGGAGGAGAGAAACATAGTAAGTCAGAGTTGGAAGAAGTGATTTGAGCAACAGGATAAGAAACATGAAAAAGCTAAACTGCAAAAGCTGTTTGTCAGTGGCCAGTGGTGTAAAAGCAAAAGAAATGAAGGAGGATGTGGCTGAGGATTTGGCTAGTATATAGCTAGATCAGTAGTGCCTCAGTTAGTGAAAGTCGGTCAAATGATGAATTTAGATTGAACAAAATACAAAAATGCAACTAGTGGAGATAAAGTTTATCTCACTTCTTGCAGCTTAGTTTGTAAGAAACAGAAATATGATGGATGAGAAATAGATGGTAGCTGTTTTGTAAGATTGGAGAGACAAAACTAGGATTTCTCAGGAAAGCAGTTTCACATGTGACCATTTTTTTTCCTCCCCACTGCTCATAATATTCTGTACAGCCCATCTCAGGGGCATCGTGGATGCTCATTTTGTGCTGGCCAAAGGTTAAGAAGAATTAATGGGTTTATATGGTATAATTTCTTTCATTGAGTATATATATTAAATGTATATATATTTATGTAAGTATAGAATATATTCAGTATATTTGTATATGTAAAATAAGATTATTTCTGATATCCCTTTTGTTCTTCAGCGGAAGTTTCAGAATGTGGAATAAGTAAAATAGCAGTTGATCTTTATTGTGCTCAGTCAAGAAAGAAAATTATTCTTCATTTTGTTTTCCAGACATCTGTTAGCAAAGGTACTAGACCAGTCAAATTACCAACATTTGCAAGAAGACCAGCATCTCCTTCAAATTCCAACAACTTCAGTCATTCTCCTCATTCTTCTGGTGGATCCAATAACATTGCAGGAATTAACAGGCATGGAGGAGAACTGCATAACAGATCAGGTACCATTTTTAATAAGAAGGTAATTTGTATCTGGTTCAGCTAAAAAAATTAGTGTTTGTGATGATGGTAGAAGACAAACCTTTTCTGAGAGCTCCTACTGCTGTAGAGCAAAACTTCTATAAATTTTGTTGAACCAGGATTGGACTTTGAACATAAGGGAAGAAAAACCTCACATCTGTTACAGAAGTCTCACTGGCCAGCCTCTGTCTCAGAAAAACATGCAGATTTTATTGGGTCCACCCATGGTGGATCAGGTGGATGCTGGTTCATTGCAACATGCATTTCATAGCACTGATTCTTACCCATGTTGCTTACTTGTTGTTTAATTAAAAATCAGTTTTCAATCAAAAACAAAGCTGCAAGCACTGTACCTGACAGCTGTTGAAGACAATATGATGAAGTGTCTCATAAAACCCATATCCAAGAGTATGAATGTCAACTCTGTGTGTATATAGACAGGGCTGGCTTCTCTCTTCTGCAGTTGATTTTTTATTCCTTTTTCTGAAACCGGCTGGATAGATCTGAACCTTACAATTCTCTCTTGCTTCATCCAGACAGTTTTTAAACAAAAGTGAGTTGTGGTAGAGATGGGAGAATTGAAAGTTAACAAGTATTTCAAAATTCTGATTTCCTTGACTGGTTTTATTATATTTTTTGTTTTAGGTGGCAGTGCAGATAATGTTTTGTCTCAGATTGCGGCCCAAAGAAGAAAAGCAGCAGGCTTTCCTGAACAGAAACCCAGCCAACAGCACAGTCCAGTCCAGTCAACTACTTCATCCACTCTGTCTGATTTGCAGTGTGCTCAGGTTGTTGGCAATGGACATGTAAAGGTATGGAGAAATGTAAATTTTTGTACTTCCAAATTGGCTAATTATAATAGGTCGTGTCTCAGTCATGGATGGCTGATACATGACATTGCACAGCCTAAAGTGAATGAACACCTGTTACAGTAGTGGAAACTTTTTGGCTCCACAAACCTTACTTTTAATTACAAGCCTACAGAAGATCAAACCTAATAATAAAATGTGATTTTGCTTTATTATTAATTTAATTCCGTTTTAAAAAACAGTAAGTGTAATACTTGATCTTAGGGTAGATCTGCACCTGGTGCACTTAGTTTGGTTTCTCATTATTTCTTTCTATGGCCCAGATCCAGTGTTTTGTGTTAGTTATTCCTGGACTTTACTCTGAAGTGATATAGCCAGTTTCCCTTCAAAGGCTCAACGTGAATGCAGAACATGAAGTGATATACAGATTGAGGAATTTAGGAGATGAGGTACAGGGACTTGTTTTGGAAAAGACCAATATACGTACATATATATTCTTATTCCTCATTTTAACTCATGTATTTTCCTGTTTTCCATGCCTCCAAATGTGTTAAACATGTACAAAATACTTAATAATTTTGAATCATTTGACTTGTGTTAGGTAATAATGAGTTTAAGAGTTGACTGGAAACTTTCATTCCAGTGCAGCAAGTTGTTAAATGCACCCAAAACTTAGTTTATGCTTACCACATATTTCTAGTTAATCCAGCATGAAATGCTACTTTAAATGAGCATCTGATATGCCTGTTATCAGAGTCAAAGTAATTTACTTTGTTTCTATTATTAAACTGTTCTTATCTCAACCTACAATTTTTACTTTTGATTCTCCTCTCCATTCCACTGGAGGGGGGGGAGGTGAGCAAGCCACATAGTTGCCGGATGGACTCAAACAGGACAGTCCTTTTAGGAAAAGAATAATTGTAGTGCTTGTGTGAGGTATTGCTTTACAAGAAATAATTTTCTTATTATAAAATTACAGCCTTATTAAATGTATTTTTCTTGATGAATTTGAGGAGACAGACTTTCACCTGGGATAAATCAGTATTGCTCCAATTATTTCAATATGGATCAAGCAGAAACTTCTAGTTATGACTACGTGCTCTGCAGAAATTATATGCAACTTAAGTAATAATGAAACATCATATATAGGTAAACATTCTTGGTTTTTTTTTTTACTGAAATTATTGTATCATTAACTACAGCAAAAACTGGAGATGAACAAAAGACCTCCATCTGGGACTTCATCTACGTCTAAAAGCACATCACCAACTCTCACACCTTCCCCATCACCTTCCCCATCTCCTAAGGTCCAAAACGCAGAGTCTTCTCTCTCTTCTTCTCACAGACAGGCCAAAAGCAACGGTTCCAGCAGTGGTACTATTACAGAAGATGGTGAGTAGGTCACTGTAGTTATAGGAGATTCATTAGTCAAGAGCACCGACTGTGTTTAAAGCTGTAACTGTACTGAATTAGTGTGTATCTGCATGACAATGAGAGCTTTTTTCTTTCTAGAAAATGTATTATGGTGTTTCTTACAGTGAGTTTGGCATTTTGCAGTAACTGCCTTTTTCTCTCCCAAAACCTGTGGTCCCTTCCATTTAGAGGGAGACTGGTACCATCTCAAAGCTTGCATGTAGGTAGGCCGCTCTTACGTGGCCTCCTTCCTTTGCCCTTTGATGGCTTAAATCCTGTTTTTCACTCTTTGCTGGGGGTAGAAAATGCACTTTCTCCACGTTAGAAATTATTTTTTTTTAAGTAAATGCAGTGAAGCACATCACTACAGAAATACATTTTTGAGTAATAGCAAGTCATAGCTACCTGCAGTTGATTTTTAAGAGCTGTAGTGCATTTATTTTTCTAAATGGCAAAAATAGCTGTATTTCAACCTATTTTTAACCTAAGGTCATATGAAAGAATAATAATGTTATTACTTTTCCAGTAAGATTACTACCTTTTAAGTTAAACTTTTAGGTCTACATTACAACACTTTTTAAAATAAAGTCATGTTACTACCTTGGAAACAGGATATCAATAACTTCGTTTTGTTCTGTAAATATCTCAAAAATGTGAAAAAAAATAACTGGACTCAGAATCTTTTAAATAAGAAATGGAGGCACCTTATCTGGTTTCTGCGAGAGGCACTTCCTACTATTTTCTGATGTTGTCTGTATTGATTTTGGTTTGTTTTCATTTATGCTAACTTTATCCATGGACACTCTACTTCCATTTAAAACTAAAGAGAGGTGATACTTGACCCTCTTTCTGTCCTCCTCTCATGGCTTAACTGTGACATATTGTACTGACCGCTGGAGAAAATCGTTTCACATTTAGTTAGTTTATAATGATGGCTTGATAACATAAGAGTTGTCAATTTAGAAATATATAAAAGAAAGAGAACTCACTGTTGGATAACAAAGGGAATTCCCCAAGCTATCAGCTGTTCTTATCTCACCCAGTGAGCTGGGCTTTGTGACTGCACCACTAATGCCATGATACAGTGAGTTCTCTGTGTAGCAGAGGAAATGTTGTCAGAAGCCTGAGTAGCTTTGGGTTCATTATGCTTGTAAGCTTCTGTAGTTAAGTGGTCCTTTAATTCAAGGGCTTCTCTTACTGTGATTTGATTCAGTAGCAACAGTACAAATGCTTATATGCCAAATAGGAATCAGAAGAGTAAGTACAGAAGGCCTGCAACGTTAACTTTGCTTTTCTTTCAAGTCAAATTAATTAGATAAATTGATTTGCATTGAATATTACTGTGAAGGAACAGTAGGCAGCAGGGTTCAAAGGTATGCTTGGTTTCTCTTTAGGCAACCACTCGGTGGACCATCAACAGCTTGTCTCTATTCTGAGAACCAGTGATGTAGAGAATCATGAAAGACGAAACCATGTGAGAGTAAAAGGAGGCTCTGAAAACTTGGAGAAAGGTAATCTAACCTTACTACTACAGAGTAGTATGAAAGGAGGGGCTAAATGGGAGTAATGTGGCAGAAGCAGTAAGAGCTCCAAGCACCTTTGCTTTCTCCAGGGATGTAGGTAAGGAGACAAGATAAGAGTAGAGCAAATGAGAATGATAAAGCAAAGGAGAAACAACATGTTATGCAAGAGTTGTAAAACTGAGAGGTTTGGGAGTTTGTTCAAGCTTGGTGTAATAATACAGGAACTGGAAGAGGGGAAGATGAAGAGAAAACTTGAAGCTCCTACTGCAGAAAGCATTCTCTGTGCATGAAAGGTGTTGACGTTATAGTTGTTTATGGCAACAAGACTCTGAGCTCAGAGATACTGTTTTTCTTCCCATATCACAGCCCATAGTTTAAGCCCACCAATGTGATGAAAAATGAGAAGCCTAACTACCAACCTAAAAGAAAAAAATTATACTATATCTAAAATTAATAATAAAATATCTAAAATTAATAATATATCTAAGGTCTTCTAAGGAAAGAAGTTTTCTTTCTGTAAGGTGGTATTTTTCATCAAACAGTGTGACATTTTTAAAACTGGTTACCTTTTCTTATTGATTAACCTCAGGGTACTAAAGCTTTTAGCCTGAGACCATGCCAGCTTTTGCAAATCATGTTAAGCATACCAAGTTAATTGAACTTGAGGTAAAAAAAAAACAAACAAAACCCTAGCAGAAAATAAGACTCAACTAGAATTTTTCTCTTTAGATTTTTGTGGACTCCTCTATGTAAAGAAGGAGTCTTTCCGAATAGTACACGGAAGTGTGTCTATCTCAAGATACTTGATGTCTTTTGAAAAGCTTGGAGAGAGAGATTCTCTTTCATGTTTCTACTGATGATGAAAGAAAAGTGACAGTCAAAAGACAAAGAAGTGAAATAAATAAAACCAAAGTACATTTGGGAATGGACTACTGGTGTCTTTTAAAGTGAAAGTGAGTTTATATGGTGAATTTAAATATAGTTTTGTTGTATAATGTAAATCATTCATGTTCTTAGTTTTGACTCCGACTTCTTAGTTTAACTTTGGTACTTCTGGGAAAACAAAGATAATTAATCACTTGTGACATCAAAGCAATAAAAAGAAAACCTGAGTTGAGAGAGGTAGCATGTAATTAAGAGAGGTAATGTTAGGTTATTCTAAAAGTGCACTTATGCTTTTTAACACATTTTAAATAGGTGGGAAGAGTCACTATCAGGTCCTCCAAATTTTAATTTCCTTAGACTTTGAGAGGAAAGCCAGTATTCAGTGCTCTTAGCCTTGGAAGGTAAGCTTATAAAACTTCAATTTGGACCAGTTTTCATCTTACCTGGACTTCAAGGTTGCCTGGATGTCAGGCATTTAAGGAGAAGAGGTTCAGATAGATGTGTGTTGTATTGAGGTTCTGAATGAGCAGCTGGGTGGTTGTTTGCTCTGCAGTTTCCCTTCCTGGATGATGATGTAGAACCATGCTGTTCAGTTCCTTGTCTGCTTGAGGAGTTTTGCTGAGTAACCTGCATAATCAGCCATCTGGGGCCAAGCCCCTGCATTTTAGGGATTGAACTGCCTAAATTGCCCGTAGTGGTTTGGTTTTGTAAGGCCCTTTCTAATGAGGAAGAAAGGGCAATACAGTGGAAAGATTTTATCCTAGCAAGGTGAGGCTAGACAGAGTTACAGTATATGGAAGTAGGTGAGAACAGAGTAAGCAAATATTTCAATTTCTGGTGGAGAATAAATGTGGTGATTTTTAATGACTTTATATGACTATGTGGAATGTATGTTTTAATATATATTTTCAGCAGTTCATAATGCAGAGATCATTAAAATCTTTTCTGATCCATGTGCGGGTTGTTTTCTTTTTTTCTGTTACTACAGATGAGCTGACTGGCATCCTTAAAAAATTGTCTCTTGAGAAATATCAGCCTATTTTTGAGGAACAAGAGGTATGTCTTTTTTTAAAAAGTTTTTTTTTTTTTACTGTTTTAGCAAAAGTGGGGTGCGACACACATTACATCAGAATTGTGATCCAGAATCTCAGATTTCAAGTGCTACAACCATTTCCAGTTGCAGATGACCTTGAAACATGGACTAAGCAATATTCATGGCATTTTCCAGGATACAGCAAATATCAGAGCTTTTTATGCTTAACCTACAATTTTTGTATAAATAGGTGCTTCAGGGTTTTTCTTTTTCTCTCTGTTTTTACACTGTGGCTTTTCTATATATGTCTATATCCAATGTGGCTAAACAGTTCATAGGACATACTGTATCATCCCTGCAGTCACAGCTGGATCCTCATTTGCAGATGGAGAACAGGAGGGTATGAGTCACTGAGATGGCTGCTTTATCTTTTTTATCCACCATGAATAAGCAACAGGAGAGTTAAACTGGGGGAACGTAGGCATCCTTGCAGGTGAGGCCTTGTAGGTGTTGCTGAGGGATGCAATGGAAAGAAACATTGCTGAAAATAAGTAAAATTAATTCATTACAATATTTAAGACAGTATCAGATGTGAGCAAATATTGTGTGTTTATTCGGTCAAGGCAAAGAGTAGTGAATGGACATACAATAAATAGACGTTGCTGCAGAGTTCAGAATTCAGCACCACAAACATAGACTATTTAGCTGCATCACAAAACAATGGGTTATTATTGTTCCCCTGCATGATAGGCAAGGGAGCATTGTGTAGAAATTAATATGCTTTATGTGTGAAGTTTATATCAATATGAAATGCTTTAAGTGTTTGTTCTTATCACAGCCTTATGGATGTGGTGTTATAATAAAAACTGATATATGAACAAAACATAGTTTTTTCTCAGGATACACTGTAAAAGTAAACACAGTATTCTGAAATTCCAAAAATACTTGGGGAAGGGGGGAAGAAAAGAAGAGAGAGAAACCTTAGGCTTATTCAGCTAGCTGCTACGGTAGATAAAGGAATTTTTTGTGGAGAGTGTATATTAATAGAGCTTGTCTGAAAAAAAATTAAAATCCATTAATATTTTAAATGTACTATCATAATTAGTTGAATGATTAACTACAGATTAAAAACCTTACAACAGCGTGTTAAAATATGTACCATTTGCTGCTGGTAATTCATTAAAAATTTTTCTTTGCAAAATATTTACAGTAAGTCTATACAGTTAAAAAAACCCCAACAAACCATGTTTAACCTGCAGTGATGAATCTTTTCATAGGTAAATTTGTCTTATCTTTTTTCTTCTTTTTTTCTTCTTTTTTTTCTTCATATGCAGGTGGATATGGAAGCTTTCCTTACACTTACTGACGGTGATCTGAAAGAGCTTGGTATTAAAACCGATGGATCAAGGCAGCAAATTCTGGCAGCTATTTCTGAACTGAATGCAGGAAAGGTGTGTTTTGAAGTACTGTACTTAGTAAATTATTTCAAGGCTTGTTTATATTGTTAATTCAACATACATTTTGAAATTCAGTTGCAGATGTTAGTTAGAAAAGCTAAATTATTTTTTTCCAAACAAAGTATTTCATTTATTTGATTAGTGTGAAAAATATTTTCCTTTGTGGTACTCCCTGTTGTCTTTCAATCACTCTTTCCTAGTCCAGTGAAGAAGCTACTGGTAAACATGAGCAGTATTGCAGTTACCAAATATTGATTTCAGCAATGCTAAAAAGAACCTCCTGGCTGTGATAGTCCAGCTGCAGAGTATAGCGTAAGAGGAAGGGTGCCCCTTGTTTAGCCTAACAGTTTTTGATTCCTCTGTGATTAGGTAAATAGCCCTTCTCTAATTTCTTACACTTTCATTGCCTTTGAATTTTTTAATGACAGAAACAAATTTGCTAGGAATGTTATATAGTAAGCAGTGTTCTTAGCGGAGGGATTTGGTACTGGAACATGACTTTGATTAGGCCTGCTGACACTTCTCAGCTGCTTTTTCAGTTTTGAGGTCCATTCTCTCTCTGATAGTGGAAGCTTGGATAAACAAAACATAATTTCCCCAGGTTAAGAGCGACAGTAACAAGTGATGAGGCTAAAAATTAGGGGAGGTGGATGATGCTCCAAGCTATAAAGAGATAAAGAAAATAATGAAAATGTTTCTATTGCTGTCTGGTAGTTTCAGGAAAAGATTACTTTGAGGTTTTCTCTATATATATCTGTGAGGTAAGGATTTCTAATTATTTCAAAAAGTATATTTAGCATGGAAACATGTATTTACACATTTTTGGTGAACTCTTCATAAATTTTTTTTTAAACAGAAATTTAAGAACTGTTTTATTTTTTTTTCTTTTACAGGGTCGAGAGAGACAGATTTTACAAGAAACTATACACAACTTCCACTCTTCCTTTGAGAGTAGTGTTAGTAACACACGACCACCAGGTCATTCTCAATGTAAGTAGCACCTGAAATTAATTGAAAAATTAATCACAAAAGCACGGAATTAATCACAAAATCAATTACGTTGGAAAAGACCTCTGAGACCATCGAGTCCAACCTATGACCCAACACCACCTTGTCAACTAGACCATGGCACTAAGTGTCACATGACATCTTTCCTCAAACACCTCCAGGTCCAGTGACTCCACCACCTCCCTGGGCAGCCCATTCCAATGTGTAATCACCCTTTCTGTGAAGAAATTCTTCCTAATGTCCAAATGTATGGATACTTCCATTTAATAGTGGCTAGAAGACAGAATGTGACAAACAAGCCAGTTAACTGGTTTCCTGGTTAATGATTCATATGTGTCCCTGTCTCTTACTGAGACTGTAGAGAAGATTTCAGGGTAAAAAGGTAGAGGAATCTGTAAGAAGTTTATACACACCACGGTACTATCGGAAATAAGCGTAAGCTTTTTGTTGTGAATTACTAAACACTGCAAATGGATGTAAGTATAGCAAACTAGAGTATACAGTATACCATGTATAGTGTATGTGTATATGTATAGCATCAGTGGCAGGTGCGTTTCTTTATGATACATAGTTTACTTTTGCATACTCTTTATAGGAGACAGTTCTTTAGTGTGATCAAGGAGAATAAATATATTCAAGATTTACAGTTTAGTATAGTGGCTTAGGTAGCTATGTTAATTATGTATTTTTGTATGCATGCATTTAGTTATTTTGCATAGGTAGTATTTTTATGTGATTGCCTACAGTTGGTTTCTTTGGAATACATCTACACCAACCACCAGTGTTATCTGCTAGCAAAGCTGGAGAAACTGCCTTTCAAAATGTACTGCCTATAACCAAAACATACAGGAAGGTGTTGCTGACCTATAACTGATGAATACGTTTATCACAGTCACAGATATAAAAGTTGCAAATCCCTGTCCTGCCAGCCACCTGGGCCAAAGGCAGATATTCGTCTGTTACTCAAGGTTAAGGAAAAGGGCAAAACCTACTCAGATTTGTACTTCTATATCCATGTTTTAGGAGAAACAATGGAAGCCATTGAATGGCCTTGAGAAGTTCACTATGTTAAAAGTACCTCTTCTTCATTTGCTCATTTTGCTGCTTGCATCCACTCACAAAATAATTCCATTTGTTTAGGGGCTATATTAAATAATATTTCTGATGTTGTACGCTTTAGGAGACCTTAATAACGAACAAGTCCCAGTTGTTCCAGTCTCAGTCAGCTGCTTATCACTACATATGTGAAAGCAGGTGCTAACTGCAGACCTCCTGGTGTCTTGGGGAAAACTGGGAATTGCTGGGGTAGTTAGTGAATGTGGGCTGCTTTCAGTATTCTGTATTGTCTGCTTGTCTGAAAGCCACTTTCAGATCTCCCTGTATGCATTGTGCAGCTTACCTCCCGTTCTCAGAGTAGTCAGCATGTTGGGAACTTCTGGATGTCTCTTGATAACATCCTAGACTTGAAGAGCCTCTTCTATAGGTACCATTAGGTGAGCAGAAGCTGCCATTTGGGATTTGATAACATGGTGTAATGAACTGGAATTACTCGAGAACCGAAGAAGCATAGAGATGTAACGTGTCTCCAAGCAACTTGCTGAGCCTAACCACTGAGCTTGAATGTGTCTTGAAGACAGCAAAGGACAGTAATGGTGGCACAGAGTTGGGGAGAACATCCTTTTGTAAGAATGGAAGCAACAGTTGCTACTGCTAACCATTTGACAGGATGCTGCAAGGAGGCTGCTGTGAGAGATCTAGCTTTTGGGGTTTTGTGTATGAGAGCTCCATGATACAGATTTGGCTGTGAAATAGCAACAGAAGCACTAACAGAGAAGGAAGAGAGCATGTAGATAAAAGAAGTTTCTGCACCAGGTAAGCTGCTTTTTATTGTAAAAAGTAGCAGTGGGACCCTTATGCAGTCTCTGGAACTTGAAGTAATTTCCAGGAATGTGTAATATTTTAGAGCATAAGAGCACCTGTACCAAGTCAGGTCCAAGGTACATACAGTTGTGTTCAACTTTTTCATCCATTCTCATCTGACACTGATGTGAAGAGCTGCTTGCTTTCATTTTCTGTGAACTTGACATGTCCTGATTTCTTTTGCTTCATCTTACTGGATCAGAAGATAGAGTGGGCAGTTGTTTCCTCTTCACTGCCTCCATGCCACTGATGATTTTACAAATAACAGTGATACTTTTCCTCAGTCATGATTTTTCTAGATGGAAGACTTACAGGCTGCTTTGTCATTCCCAATACCATAGTTTTTCTCACCTCTTTTTCTTTTCTACTATAATCTTTTCAGACTTGGGAGATACCAGTCTAGCATACAATATTCAAGATGTAGGCATATTACAGATTTACATGACACAGTGATGTTTGTTTTTCAGTTGTGTTCTTTCAGTTTTCTTGCCCTTTCCTAGTTATTTCTGAATTGTTGTTAATTGGAACTATGTCTTGTAACCCTGGTGGTCTACAGAGTTTGAGCTCACAGCCTATAATTTTATATAACCATGCATACATCTTTTTTTTCCATTTGCCTTCATATTTATCTCCATCAAATTTTGTCTGCCATCTTATTGTTTGGGCACTGATGTCACATGAAGTCCTTTTGCCAGTCTTCTGTTTGTCTTTCTGTTTATTTACATGGATAACTTAAGAAGGTTTGTCCCTTCACCCCGTATGCCCTTTTGAAATCATATATTGAATATATTGTTCATATCCTGAATATTCGTATGTAGATCCTTCTGAAATGCTGGGGGTGAATTTCTCTGCTATGGAAATAATAATTTTTTCCTCCAACCTTCTGTCCTCTGCCTCCCTAACAGATTATTTATCCACACAAGAAATTTTCTTTTTACCCTCTGGGTTATTTATTGTCTTAAGAGCTAAACTTGGATCTTGAGTAATGACTTGTCAAAATCCAGGCATCAAACGGACCTCTTTTGTCTACAAGACTGTTGGCACCTTCAAGGAATTCCAGTAGATTGGTGAGGCAAGACTTCTCAAATCCCTTTTTGATTTTGCACAAAATTTCAGATCCTTTGTTACAGTTTTTGCTAATCTGCCTGGTATTACTGTCTGTTAAAACAATTAGCTTCATTTTATCACATCTCAGTTATGTGGCAATTTAAACAACAACCTGTGTTCTGTACACAGCAGTTTAGCTGCTTAATCCTTTTGCTTCTTGGACTCCCACATAAAGAAAGATTCTGAAATGGAAACCTTCCCAAGTTTTTCCAGGGTGAATACCATTTTTTTTCTGATGTGAGCTTACTTCTCTAGCTCATTACGGTCTCGTTGATTGACATCATGTCATTTGTAACTGGCTGCCTCTTGTGGTGTGTTTGAAAAGTAATATGTGAAATTTTTATCATTTTTGCATGGTCCACAACCACTCATTTCTCTACAGCTCTTTCTAGGAACCTGTCTGGACACCATTAGCAAGAAAGCCACATCATGATTTGCCTTTCTAGAAAGCTAGGTGTAGCTCACAGGATGATGGAAACATCCTGCTCTTCCAGCTATGTCGGTACCACTGTTTTCCACGCTATCCTTGTGATTTCCTCAAGATTTTGAGTCAGTTTAAAAGCTTAGTACCTAAACCAGAGTGGCTCTCAGTGTAGCTCTGCTTTTATGAAGTTTCCAGCCTGTAGGGCTGTAAAGAAGAAAATGAAATACAGTCCAAATATATCCATAAGATTCAGAAATGAAAAAGCAGGAGGGAAAGAAAACTTAATCCTTACCTTCCAGAAATGTAGCTTACAATTGTGGGAGGTCTGTAGGCTGGTTACCAACACCAAGCCTGTAAATGTCTACAGCTTCTTACACCCTTCCTCATCCATAGCTCCAGTGTCCCCTTAGCTTTAGTTCTGCCCAAAATGCCACAATCCGCACTGCTCAGGCTCAGTTCCTCCCCTGCTACCCCTGAGTCAGGAGCTGTTGCTGCTTGTCAAATCTGGTAGGAGATTGGAAGGCAGCAGAAATAGATACACATCTGGATGAGTCTTTGTAGAATGGAAAGAAGAGCTGCAGTGATTACCTACATTCACCCTTCTAAGGAATGCAGTAGAAAGAAAACAAGGAGAGGCAGAATAAATAAAAGCAAGACCATCAGAAGTAGAGGATTGATGGTATAACTAATTTCACACAACGGGCTTGTTTAGGAAGATTGCCGCGGTCCGAAAAGGAAGGGGGGGGGACCGTGGCACAGCATGGGTCCGGGACACGAGGATGGGATGCAGGTAGAATGATTTATTCAAGCGTACACCCGGTCATTTATCAGCTCGGGAGGGGAAAGGGCCAGAACATAGGGCGGAGCATGAGACAGACAAGCGGGGGGACAGACCAGGATAGGGGCACGGGCAAAAGAGGGAGGAACGTGGGAAGAACCGGGAAGGGAAGGGGTGAATGGAGGCTATCCCCTCTCTCTGCAGCTTCTCCAGCCAATTGCCTCCAAACAGAGGAGCAGGGAGGTGGACAGGCCACGACATGCCCAGGAAATACAAATTCTGGGGAAGCATACAATGCGTATATATACATAATAACTGTAAAGTCTGTATCATAAAGTCCTTTCAATCACTGTGCATCTTTTTCCACTTCTGAGATTTTCCCCATTCTGATTCCTGGTCCTTCACAGAAGATACCACAGTTTCCTACGGATGTTTTTTTGGCAGTTCAAAATCAGTTGCTGACTTCTTGTAGCTTCTGTTTGAGCATCTCCTGCTGAGATTGTTGCTTCTGAGCTCCCTGTGATATTTACTACAAGAACTCATAGAAAAGTTGTTGAGTGTTTGGCAGGTGAGCTATTTAAGTTATAATAAAGCTCACGGTTGGGAGAAAGTTTCTTCTGTGCATTAGTTGCTGTGTCATCCCTGGGGCTGGAAATGGGATGATTCTGTGTTGCAAAAAACAACAGGCTTCAAAATACAATTTGCTTTCTGTCAGAAGGATACTGAGACTGCTTCCTCCCCACCCCATGCCAGGGATACCAGGTTAGGCTATGGAAACTCCACATTCCAGTCCTTGCCTTATCAGCATAAGGCAGATGGCTGCCCTGACTGCAGTGTAAATACTGCAATGGTTACTGGACCTGTAAGCCATTAGGCTCGGAGGCACCATAGTATTCTGAACAGGTGAACAGTACTTGCAATAGGGAGTGTTGCCTCCATCTCTTTTTTTTAATGGAAATGAATCGGTCACCTTCAGAAAATTCTGATGAAATTAGTTCATTCCAAGAGTGCATGTTACCACAAATTTTGACACTTCATTGGTTTTCAAGGAAAAAAATTATGGCTTGGAAAATTGCCAATGCATAGTAATCACTCCGTCCTTGGTAAGAGAAACTACTAGGAAGATACTGCTTCTTAATAACCCAGTGAACTGTGTCCAGCAAACACAGAATCAGCTTGTTGCTTCACCATTTAGAGCAGATGACCAGCCCATGGAGGCATAAGGCAAAATGACTGCTCTGTGGAACAAAATGGTCCTCCCTTGTGTGGACTCTCAGCTTCGATGAAATAGTAAGTGGCAGCATAAAGTCCAGATTTCTGAGGAAAGAGATTTGAGAAATTATATCACCTCAGGAAAAGTTTCTGTTTGTAGCTTGAGGTGATCGTTTTGCTTACATGATTCTGATTAAAAAAAAAAAAAAAGGACTTTTTGAATGCTTAATTGCCAAGACTAATTGTGTAGTTTATTTTGGATGCGTGTGTCAAGATTCATGCAGTCATCAACTGGATAATTAAGAGGTTGAACAGATCTGGCAGTGGTCTGCAGGTTAATTGAAAGAAATGGCACCAAAGGAGAGGGAGTTGCATCTCAACACAAACTTGCCAAATGAGAAATGAAAAGGAAAAAAAAGTTCATGTGGATTCTATGGGAAAGAAAAAAGGGAGCAAACCAACTGAAATTATTTCCTCCAGAAGAGTACAAATAAAATCCTATATGCTAGTTATTAATAGATATGTAAGGAAGTGTTACATGTTAGATCTGTGAGAAAAAAATGGAAACATTTCATGGAAGTTCCCTTTCCCAAGTCTATGGCTTGTAACAGAATTTGCCATTTCTGCAAAAATGACATGAAAAAGGCAAGAGAGCTCCCAAGGTTTGTACTCTGAAGGATACAAACCTCATTAGGAAAAAAAACCATTAAGATTGGTTGGCGGTAAAGCTAACTGCTGGTTATTAGCTCAGTTTGCCTTCTAATACCAAGTTTATTGAAATGTTTGAAAGAAAATAATGAGCCTTGTCACTTGGTACAAGTGTCCAGGTGGTCTCCCCCATCTAAACATAATACTTCTAACAGGTGGCAACAAAAGAGAACACACCAGCATCTGGCAGGGGCAACGAAAAAAGGCAGGATTTGGATAAGCTGAATATTCTCCAGACAAAAGTTAAATGAAGAGTAACTATGCCTATGATTATGATAAAAAGAATATGATGCCATTCAGTCTATAATTTGTGGAAATTCTGGTCTTCTGGTTTTTCTTTACATATTATGGTATGTTGCATATTGATAGATAGTTACACGTATGTATCTGTAGATAGAGAGTTGTTTTTATATTTACGTTCCACTTTTGGATTCAGAGTCAAAAAATATCAAATGGAAATTATCCAGAGGAAGAAGTTAGGGATTGTAGAGTGAGAAGTAAAAATAGGAGCAAAATCAATATAGACTTGCAAATAAAAATCATACAGGATTCAGATAGTCACTTGCTGGAAAAGTACAAATTGAAAAAAGAGGGATAATGGAAAGATTAGTAGATGACTTTTTTACACATGAATTTGACTTTTCATACCTTCTCCATACAGGAGTTAGCTTAAGATGAGTACAGTGAATTACAGGGTCAAATTGTTGGATTCTGGTGTAACAATTACACTGGGAAATGTGGGCCTGGTTCCAGTAGTTGTGGAATTTCTCTCTTCTTTAAAGCGGTAAGTCTTGCTGGTGGAAATTTTTCAAACTTTTTTTTTTTTCTCTTATAGCACCTGGCTGCTCTTTAAAACCACAAGAAGCTGTTTCTCCTAAAAGGTAGCAACAAAAGATTTTTTCTTATCTTGAAGTTTGGCATCTGACTAAGTAAATCCAAGCGTACAAATGAAAATTTGTAAAGTTAGTCCTAACTACACCTGTGTAGTACTTTCTGCAGTAAAATACAAACCTCACAAAGAATCAAAGAAAATAATAAAGAGGTTGCTTTTATAGTTCAACCTAAGTGTTGAATTGTTCAAGGCATCAGTGGTCTGGATTTGAGAAGAACTAAGTCAGAAGAGCAAGAAAAATGAATGATGGTACAAGAAGATGGATGTTTTCATTCTACTCATACCCATAGATGAACAACCCATAGGAGACCTACACAACAAAAGCACAGAAGAAGGCATGGAAAACACTACAAATTATGGCAGCTTCTACAGGATGAAGTATATGAATTGAATATGCCACTATTGACTGGATACAAATAAAGGAGTCCAAACTGAAAATGTAATGGTTTCATGAGAAGGAATATAAAGGAAGAGGAAGAGTAATGCTGCATTCTTCTTTAACTGAAATACACTTTATCTATTCAATATTATGAGGTTAGAACAACAGTAAAAGTAAATATGAAATACCTATTTATAAAAATAGCACTTTATTTGAGGAAATGTATAATCTGTCACCAATATTTAAACAAAAATAGTGTTAAAATATTTTATGTTACTGTTTGTTTTTTTTTTTCTTGAGAATAAAACCATTCTACTGACACTGGCTGGGTGTTTTTGAACGCTAACGCTAGCATATTCTTAAAATACGTTTTTGTAACTTGTTTTTGTAGCAATTTTAAAAGGAAAGCTGTAGTAATTAGGAGTAGAAATAATTTTCTGCTTAATAAATACAATGTTTATTGAGCAATTAAAATACAAGTCATCAGAAGCTTCTGTTTATCTTTCTGAAGACTCACAAATACGTGACTTTTAATGTGAGTCCAGGAGTACTACAAGTAAAGGCAAGACGATAGTGGAGCTCCAATGCAGAGGAGTGATCTCAAGTAATTACTTCAGTACACACCTAAAGATTACACATTTCTCCACCCTCCTCACTGTACTGGTTTTAGCAAACATAGGGATAGAAGTTGGGTGCATTGATAGAGATAACAGCAGGAGTGAAAGTGGTGGTGCCCCGCTGTCCCTCGGGTGCCTGAATGTGTCAGCTGGTTGTGTGATGGCTTCATTGGCTTGGCCATCTGAGGTACAGCTCCAAGCTGCTGCCCGCAAACAGCAGAGCGGCGTAGCTGCACCAGCTTACCCAGCTGTGCTGTGAGAGCTGACTTTGAATACAGTAAGTTTAAATCTCTAGGAGGAAGAGGAGAAGAGATTACAGAGGGGTATTTCAGAAAAAAAGGATGGTTATGAGCTGATTAGGGCAATCAGAACCTGTTAGTACCTTGAGGTCCTTGGTGGTTGTGCTAATAACATTTCACGTGTAATGGTATAACAATGTGCAAAATAATTTTTGTTCCATTTTTGTTTTTCAGTGCACATATGTCACCAAATTTCGAACACTTATCAATATTTAGCATGGCATTTTATGTTTCTGACATGTCTTAGGCTGAAGATAATCACTCCTTAGGCAGAATTGTGCTTCAGGATTTATTTCAGCTTTAGCATAAAAATATATAATTTCTGCTTTCACGGTTTTCAAGAGCTGCAGCCAAAGATGATAATGGCAGGACAGATCTACAGAAATGTTGAGTGCAAACCATACAGCATCAAGCTAATGGCCCTGTCCTTTCCTGAAGAAACCTAGACAGTTTTGGTTAAAGCACTTCAAAATGGAGCAGATAAACAATTGCAGCTTCTTATTAAGATTAGGAAACTATAACAGTTGCTGCTTTGGAGCCAAAACACTGCAGTGGCACCTTCGGCCTCCTGTCAGTGTAACTGGGAATAGATGATCTGGAATGAGCTGAAACATCTCACTTACTACTGAGTGCCTGTGGGGCCCTATGGCAGCTCAATTTCCCTGTACAGTTTTGTGCTTTTAATCCAAACATCCAACATTCTCAGCAGAGCATCACCTGAAGCCTGCTGATAGGGAAACCTCAACGTGAGAATGCTTCAGCCATTCCTGTGAAGAGCTTGTGGGCCATATTCCTCGAAAGGCGGACTCACCTGCAATAGATTGAGGGGTGGGTGTTCATTTTCTTTCGAGTCCTTTTTAGTAAGACATTGAACAGTTCAGTGTGGAAAACACTTTGCAAAGTGGAGAGAGGCATTCTTTGTACAATCTAAGAGGGTTCAGATTCATGTATGCCACTGCCCAGAAGACTGTCATAACCTCAGGGCTATAAGGCAAGGTAGGGGCATGCTTAATTCCTCTGGTTGAATCTGTCTCACTGTGAAGAAGATAATTCAAGATTCATGGACTGTGGCTCTGTAAGACACTGGTCTAGGATAGGGAGGAGTTAGGCTTTAAGTCCTCTAGTTGATAAGATTTATCTACCAATTCCTAAGCTGCATGGTGACTGAAGATAAATAGTGCTGTAAATTTGTGAATGTTAACCGAAGTGCGTCAAAGAACAAGCAGAAAATGGATTTAAATGGAATGCAACACTGTCAGAGGAGACCTACCAGCATACCTGTGTAGGCTCTGTGTTTACACAACAGGCAGACAGGGCTCCTCAGGCTGTCCCATGAACGAGTCCCACCTTGTGAAGAGTTAGCTTTATTAACACAGGAACAAAAAGAGTTTGGGAACCTTTCCTATTTTCTGCTGCACTCAGTTCTTAAAGGTGGCCTGCTTTTTCTTCCTGATTCAGCTGCCATCATAGGTAGAGAAACAAAACAGGTTGCTTACCATGGCTGCTTTTTCTGGCTTTGAGAGGAGGTAAGTTTGAGATGGACACCTGCATTTATGTGTCTGTGTGTAAGGACTGATGTGGGTAGCTGTTTAAACTCCACGGTAGGTAGTGGAGGTCTGGTTAGTACCATCACTGGGGCCTCAAAGCCCAGTATCTCACCGGCCTAGGCCAGAAGTTTGATTCACTTTTCAAGACGTTCACTGGCACCTGCCAGGCCCTAAGGCATCCAAAGCACCCGTAAGAGGTGCCAGACATGACATTACATGAAGGTTATGATCACGTTGTTTGTTGCAGTTACTTGGACAAAGAGACCATTCAGAGATGGAGACTCATTGACTTGTCCTGATTTGTCACAGACTTTCAAAGGTGAGAAACTGTTTCTCATTTGCTCTTCATAGTCTATGTCCTCCTTTTTAGTTTAAATGAAAATCTTTGTTAGCAAACTTTGCTTACCTCATAATGAAAAGTGATACCTTCTGGGTTTTGCCAAAGAAGGAAGCTCTACAAGAAACAGTTCTTGTTCTAAATCAGTTTAGAGTTATGGACTTCACTAATCTTTAGTTATTAACATTAATATTTTGCTGAGGAGTACTGTTATTTTACAAGAAGCTTTTATAAGTTTCTTTGAATTTAATTTTTTCTTTCTGAACTTTAAGCATTAATCAAGATCAGATTTTAAATAAAGATATTTTGTTATCTGGAAATGATTCAAGCAGTCATCTGTAGTATTTCTCATGCTTCAGCAAATGCTTCAGAAGCCAGGTAGCTTCTCAAGGGAATAACTTTGGTTTCCAGAGTGAAGGGGAACATAAAAGTTCATGCAAAGAGATTTCTTTAATACCAAGATCAGCTTAATTTAGAACTGCTTGGCTGGTCTGACTCTGACACTAATAGCCTCAAACTTGCCACTTTATTTTATTTCAAAGCCCTCTTGGCAGTACAAGGGTACATTTAGTGGGAACAGGCTTTGTCCATTAAAACTGAAACTTCTTGTGCTATATTTAAAGCTCATTTGGAACTTAATTTCCAGTCTCTCAGAAGTTTGTATTATTGAAATAAACCATTAATGCAATGTCCTCCTTAAAGTGTCACAGCAAAGAATTGTTTCAAAGTGATTTTCGCCACTTGTCATTCACAGCATTCCAGTGTGCGTTAAAACTTAATGGAGTTAACATGCAGTCATAAAAACAAAAGCAGATTTTTGAAGCATGATTGCCATATTCTCAACATTGTATCTATAGCAGTTTAATTGGCCTCTTATTTCTCTCAGTTTTTATCCATAGGTAGATAAAATACTCTCAAAATCAGTCTGTCTGGTCTTAAGAGGAGTGTGCTATCATGGCTGTTAGCAGAGGGGCTATTGCTATACCTCGAGCAGGGTTTTGAAGGTGATAAACAGGTAAAGGAGCATGTAGAAAAACAGGCCCATTTGAGGTACCTCATTATAAACAACCTAAAAATATTCTGTGTTCATGGATATACTTGATACGTGGCTGTGAGTTCTTGTTTTTAGTAAGCCTAAGTGATTTGTTACCCCTCAGAACTGGTGGCCTCCAATAGCTGGTGCAGAGATTTCTGATTTCCTGAGTTGTGAACAAAATCACTGCACAGAGAGCAGCCAGCAAAGTGCAGTGGATTTTATCACCATGGGCCCGATTTCAACTGTTCTCAAAAGATTCCTTCATATATGATTTTTCTAAGTCATTCTCTGCTGCCAGTTTGTCCTAAGAAGGGGAAGATGGAATGAAAGGAAAACAGAATGAAAAAAGCTAGGCATAGAAGCATGGGTAGTATTTTTACAAAATTGGGATTTCTCATTTTCTTTCCAGCATCTGCCTCTCCTTTAGGCTGTTTCTTGAATAGTCAGAATTAATACTGGACCACCACAAGTGAATGCCCTGGGACTCACTTACCTCAGCAGCTCAGGACTCCAAAGCAGTTACTTTTTATCACGGACTTTGCTCAAAATCTGTTGCTCACATACCTTTACTCAGACACAGAGCAAACAGAAAGCATCATCCTCTATGCTAGTAATTAAATAGTGTATGCAGAGATCCACCTTTCCAGCTGTTTGGGCCACTGAATGTAAAATAAAGCTCCAATTTATAGATGCTCCTAATACATTGTGTTGTTTATCTCCTATCCTGCATTTTAATTGCTTATTTGGTTTATGTGTCAAGCACACACACAACCTGTAGTCTTTAACAGTGCCACAGATGCATTTCACAGAATCACAGAATGGCTGAGACTGGAAGGGACCTTTGAAGTACATCTACATTCTCAAGCAGACCACCTAGAGCTGGTTGTCCAGGACCACGGCCATTGCTCTCCCCTCATCCACTGAGGCATCACAGAAAGCTATCAGGTTGGTTAGACATGATATCCTCTATGTAAATCTCTGCTGACTACTCCCAAACACCACGTCAAAATAACTGGAAATGATTTTCAGTATTATTTTCTCTCTCACTTTCCCCACAGTCAAGGTGAGGCTGATTGGTTCCACTTCCCTGAATTCTCCTTCTTGCCCTTGTTGAAGATAGGGATGATATGCTTTCTTCCATTCTGCAGGAACCTTGCCAAATCACCACAACCTTTCAAAGATAATTGAAAGTGGCTTTGTAGTGACACCGGACAGCTCTCTCAGTACTTGTGGGGTGCATCCTATCAGGTCCTATGGACTCACCTCTATCATACAACATCTCTTGGAATGCCATGTAAGGACATTTTGTTATCTGCATGTCCCCCTCAGACTATACCACAGGTGTTGTGCATACTACGTCTCTGCTAGTCCTTTGGTGTTTTATGGACACCCTCTTCAAGTGAATTTCATAGTGGTTTGTCAGCTCCCATCATTTTAGTTATGCAGCAACAGCATTCATGGTTACCATTCTCTGGGCATGCTGTG